ATTTTTTAAAATTATTTTATAACCTTAAAGTCAAAAGCATTTTTAACCAAATACATTAAACTATTTTTTTTTCAACTTTAATTTTAACCACAGTTTTAACTAAACACATATTTTTTTCAAACCAGTCTCAACTAAAAATACTTTTTATAAAATATTTTTTTCAAACCACAACAACTACCGCAATACTAAACACACTCTAAGTTTGATATAATAAAAAAATAACATGATATTTTTTAAATTTTCACAATTTTGATAAAATATTTTTTATCAAGAATAAAAAAATATTTTTCCGAGAACTAAATTAATTTTTTTTTTAGTTGGAAAGTATTCTTCATTGAACAACTTTTCTAATGATAAAAAAATATAGAAAAATTTTAAAAATAATTTTTAAAAATAACTTTTTACTAAAAAAATAGGGTTTTAATCTAACTTATAATAGACTAGTTTAAAAACAACATATATAAAAACTTTGATATCAATCCTAAAATTACCTATTAATATTCGTATTGTTTATTTTAAATATAAAAATTTAAAATTATTTTGTTTTGTTTTTTTTTTTGTTTTTTTAATTTTTATTGTTTGGAAAATTAAAAAATAGAAAGTAAATTTTTCAAAGCATCTGTGAAAAGATTTAACTTGAAATATCAGAGATTAAAAAATAATAATAAATGGGTTTTAGATGACATTAATTGTCAAAATAAATGGATAATATTTATTCAAATAGTATAATTCAAAAAAAAAAATCAGATTCAAAGGACAGTCTCGGTATATCACAACCTTAATAATTTAGGGACGAAACTGGCATTAAACCATGAAGAAAGGATGAAATTGTTTTTTACTGCCGTGCATGTTTTGGTATTCTGGATTGCAATACGGGTTACTGGAAGGGAACTTTCTAGGCAAAACTTATATAAATCCTTTAACTATAAGGGTAGTCTCAATCCACCCTTTAAAGAACTTTCATCTCAATTAAGTCCCTCAGGTATTGAGAAATTCGAAATTGAAGTTTTCACCTATTATTCACAAATTTTTAAGAGAATAAGTTTTTTGAAAAGGAAAATACATATTTTTCTTAATGGAAATAATATAAAAGATGAATTTAATTCCTTAGCAGAAATAGCATATATTTGTTCTTATTTATTTATTTATTTTATCAAAAACAGGTGGTGTGTTTGATGGAACGAAGGATGCTAGAATAATATAAAATAAGAATCCATCATTTCATGGTCATTAAACCCACTCCAAGACAAGGCTTTGATCATTAATTATTTTTGTATTATTTACCATATATATAAAATCAAAATTCCGATAATTTTTTTTAAAATTAAGTTATTGACAAATCTCATGTTATTAATTGTTTTTTTTTTTCAACTCCATTCCGACCATCTTATCCAGCAATTATGGATCATATCACAACCAATATTAATTTCCACATAACATTAATAATAATTATCAACATTAAATAAATATCAACATGGTATTTACAAAAGCATAACAATTATTTTTGTCTAACGAAGCAAGTCATATCAAAATTACATACATGACATGAGTATATTTATATATTTTTAATACATTTTTACCCTAATATAGTCTACATATTTATCTAAGTTCACAACTCTACTTTACAAGTAAAATAATCACATAATATTAAACACACGGTAATTACATAAAATCCCATAAGTTTTGACATGAGTTATATTCATAAAATACTATCAATTATCTATATATATAACAAACTAAAACCTAACGCTCCACGTCAAATCTTGATGTACATGTGAATACACCATATTTTATGTAAAATTCTCGGTCAATAAATCAAATATTAAAACACACGACCGCATTAAATGTCATTTAATATGAAAATAGTCTAGACATTCACTTATATTATACCATTCCTCCAATAATTAACGCAAACAATCTGATTTCCCTTTAATTATATCAACTTAACTAGTTGTCACATAATTTGGTCGTCTCTCGCATAAACTAACCAAGTAAATCCAGTAATTTATACAGCTATCTATAGATATGATATAATTATCAATAATTTAGCTAACTCTTTTTAATATTTAATATATTTAATAATTCATATAAATACCAATAATCCAGCCAACTTCTCTAAATACGACAATTCATTCAGTTACCTATAATCCAACTGATCTATCTCGGTAACCAATAAATCCATTTAAAATCATGGTATAATCTTGTTTCTATCTCACCTTATATTCCCAACAATTATTATACATTATCATAAAGTAATCATAATTAACACAAAAATAGATTAAAATTTATAAATATTCGAGTGAGATGAAAACCCACCACTCACGATGCTCCAACTCTTCCTAGTTGGGATCCTACTCGGACGTGCCCCCTTTATTCAATAAAATTATATCATGTCATTATCCATCAATGATTCATCTGCTGGTCGAGATGTTATTCTCATGTGGCACTTGGTTCAATAAAATCATGTCATGTCATTATCCATAATGATTTTTATTGTGCACAAGGCACGCAAATCTTTAATTTAATTCCATAAATCACACTTCCTATTTAATCACTACCTTATTATGATGATTTCCTTACATCTTCCTTGTAATATATTTTTGATTAAATTCTCAAATCATCAAAATCAAATACATAAATTCTTAGTTCACCTCAAGACAATTTTTATTATAAGTATTAATTCTACACAATTTCACAATATTTAAACACATTATAATAATTCAAATTCTTTTATCAAATATATAAATTCTCATTTCGCTTTAAATTGATTTTTATCACAATTACGAGTATTGATTCTACACGATTTAATAATATTCAAGCACATCACAGCAATTCTAATTTATTTTTCTTTTATGACTGGCAATGTACCGTAGGATTTGACTGTGGTTTTCACATTATTTTAACAAAATTCCTTTCCTTCTCTCATCATTTCTTTATCCCTTAAATTGCACCGAAGAACCCTAATCCTGTAAGTTGACAATTCTATCAAAAATAAACTAAACTTTGTGAAAATTTATTCAAGAACACTTGACATATCTTACCTAGCAAGAATTGGAGCTCTCTATGCTCACCAAGCAAAATATTAATAAGTATTAATATAACAGAAGGGTAAATCGCAAATCTCAAATTTTATATCTTCAAGGAGTTAAATGGGAAAACATATCTGGACATCCTGAAATGAAAGGGTGGATTGACAGTTTGTGATCTTGAAATTAGAATAAACCTACCAAAACTCCTTAAAGCTTGCTGGCTTTGACTGATGAACAATGGCAAAAAGTTTTGTGTGCATTTTCAAGGTTAGGTGAAGAGGCAGGAGAGAGACATTTTAAGACATCAAGATACCAGCTTCAGTCACTATTACACCACATATCTATCCATCTATTTACTATATTTTTATCCAAGTTAATCAGCATAATAAATTATTCTAAAATATTAGTTTTAAATAAAATAAAATTCAAAATTTTCAAAGGATTAAGAGTAGAGAAAGGAGAAGTAGTTATATATAGAATACATGTCATTAGCTAAAAAGAATTGTTTGGCTCAGCGTTGCGGCAGTATTTTTATTTAATTATAATTTTATCCTATTTGATTATAAAACAAAATACAATTTTCATGAATAGCTCACCATCTCCCTCTTCATTTCTACATGCTTTTCTTCATTACTTCGAGCCCTCTCTGTATTCGACAAAATAACCCTTCAGAATCCAAGACAACAACACTTCTTCTTCTCCCCCCCCCCCCCCCCCCCTCAAACTGCACACATGTGCAGATCTCTCCATCTCTCCTTCTTCTCTTATTAGTTTCAGAGATTTATCAAAACATCATCATAAAGTTTTAATCTTTTTTTAGAGAAAAAATGGGTTCGCTTTCACCTGAATTGAGCTGGGATTTTGTCAGGCCTTCAACAGCAAAAACACTACCTTTTTTGCCTAAAACGATAGCCGATTATCTGAAGGAGGTTTCGATGATCGGTGATTCTGCTGTGAAGGTTTTGAAAGTGGATGGTTTTATTAGAGATTTAGAAGAGGAAAAGAGAAAGATCGATGCTTTTAAACGAGAGTTACCTCTTTGCATGCTCCTTTTGAATGATGGTTGGTTTGTGCAGTTTTTTTAGACGGTTGTGACTTGTTCTCTTAGCTATTTGAAACATGTTTTAATGGATTTGATTCTGCTCAGCGTTGTTTTAATATATTTAGTTAATATTAATCAAATATACTATATAATCATGTTAAAAAAAATTACATGATAATATAATATTTATATAGTTTAATAATTATTTTAATTTTGTTTTGATAATATTTTATTTAATATTATTGTATACACAAAAAGTTATAAAAATTATAATTTTTGTTGGTTAAATTTTATATATAATAAGATTATAAATAATTTAATAAAACATAAATATAAATTTTATATAAAATATTATTATTGTATGTTATAATAGTAGTAATTAAATTTATAATATTAAAATTAAAAATTATTAATATTAATATATATATTTTATTTAATTTTTTTATAATCTTAATTCCAAAAATATTATTAACTAAATATATTAAATAATTTTTTATTTAACCTTAATTTTAACTATAAATTTAATAAAATAATTTATTTTAAATTACAACACAAAAACTACTGCATTGCCGATCACACTTTTACTATGTCCCTAACCTTTTTTCATTTTGTATTTTCTCGAGAAATTTCTCTCTCCTTTCCCGCCTGTCCATCTATATTCATCTCTATTCTCTACACGCTCCTCTCCCTCTTTCTTTCTCTCTATCAACAGCTTTAGTTTGAAATTATCTCTTCATTTCTATCTCTGAATATTTACGCGCATTTCGTTCATTTATTGCCTCAGAGAGTCTTCTCCACCTTAACTCTGTCTCTCTCTTAAAGGGTTTTGATTGCAATAAAACTGTGCCAAGGTATGATCTTTTTTTGTCAGTTAATCTAGTTTTCGAGCTTTATATTCGATTTCCTATCTGGGGTTTTTATTTTTTGCTGATTGATTTGGTTTTTGAGATGTTTAGAGTTTAAATTTTGCTTCTTTTTTATGTCAGTGCCCTTTTTGAATATTCTATATCTATTTTTTGCTTTAGATTTGCATATTAAAAAAATTTCTCCCCTTTTGTTTGGCATTTGACGATTCTTTCTTTTGTTTTATTTGATCCACGTACTGTTATAGTAGTCTTGGGGAGACGTGTTTTCTTGATCTTTTGTGTCAAGTATAGTTTTTGCAGAGTGAATTTTCTTTTCAATTCCCTTTTACAGTCCTAGTTTTTTTACTTGACAAATCTTTGCTCGATATGGTTTTGTTGTGGTGATTTTTTGTCCTTTGTGTGATATTGGGAGTGTGATTAGCAAATTTTCGTTTCACACTGTGCTAATGGTTGCCATTTGCAACTGCACACCTGGTGTGGTTTTTTTTTAAATGCATGATTTTGTGTTATACATAATATCATATGATGACTAGTTGGGTTGTGGCTAATAAATTCCTTAACTCAGGAAGGTGAGAGCAATTGACATCTTCAATTCTTTGCTCTTTATGGTTTATGGGGATGTTTCTTTAGCAGATGAATCATATGATGATTGGTTAGGTTACGAACCTCGTACTCAGGAGATACATTTCCATTGTTATGCTCTTTAGACAGGGTCTCTTAGGTTAGTTTGAGTGGATTAACTGGTTACTTTTCTTTATAATTTGTCTTGCTCAACTCCTGTCATGAATCGCTCGTTTTTCCCATGTTAACTGGGCAATTTTGTTGTCGCATGTTTTATGTGACTTCTAGTCAGATCAGGAAGTTATATGTCACTTTTTATTGAATGTTTTTGTTAGGTTAAGGAGCCATAACCTTGAAGAAATAAGGGAAGGAGACCAAGGAGAAAACACGTTTTGGTGGTAAGACTCCAAGGGTTTCTTGTCAGTGGAAGTGCATGCTAGTTTCTGTTAAAGGCTAGTTTTCGTTTTTCTATTCTCAACATGTGTCAATGATCATGTTCTCAGTGACCTTGATTTACTTAAATATGAACACTCTTGTTGTTATGTTGTTGGAATATCTTTGAATACATGCTTGATTTATATTTATATTCAACATAGGCTTGCCAAAAATAAATGATTGCGATCATTACACCATTTGAGATTGCTAACCAGTAGTCCACTAAACTGTCTGTATATTCATAAACTTGTTGGTTCTTCTGATGCTGGGTATTTTTTCTTCCTTACAGTTTTCTTAACTGCTTTGCTTTTTTCCATTTGTTTGTCTTAGAAAGTTGACAGAATAAATTGGACTTCTTAGTTAGGACAATTACAAATAACAAAACTTCCTTTTAGGGTCTACAAGCTGCTGCTGCTCGGTTGATTCATTATGAAATACAATTTACCTCAGTATGTTATCCATATTTCAAAGTGTGATTTATTGAAATATAAATTTCATCATGTTCCTTTATTAGGAGTTATCCACTATTTAAGCTGTGAGCTAAATTGGATGGCAGTATCGGAAAAATGAAAATGCTTTTAAGTTCACAGCAAAAAAAAATTGGGACTGATTCAGAGGCGCCTATGCTATTGTTGTTTGACATTAATGTCAAGAATTCAAGTAAATTGTTATTTGCTGATTCTGCAAGTAGATATCTGTGAAATGATTAATAATTGTGTGAAATGAGAATTTTTGTTAATATCAGACTTCCCTGATTGAATATCTTTTCAGATAGATATATGATAAGCTAAACTGTAGTTACATCCATATGTATAATATATTTTATCCCCTTTGCATGAATGTGATTTATTTGACATACTGATGTAATCAGGTTCCTCATTTTTTCCCCTCCTTGTGTGTTGTTTGGGAGTTAGGGGAAGGCTTTTTTTTCCTCTTTTTTTTTTTTTCAAAGAAAGCTCTCCTAGTGGAATTTGACACTTCGACTTGGTTGATTTATTGATGACATAGATGTCAAACTTGTGTCCTTTCTTTTCATGCATGCCATTTTGCATTAGTATAATGGTAGATCGCTTTTTTGGATTTGGAAACTGACTTGTTTATTTTTTCATAGGTTGACCACGCTATTGTGGCATCTAACAATCAGTTTTTTGATGACAATCCGAAATAAGCCTGAGGTTATTGAACCTCCTCAAAATAAAGGCATGACAAATATCGTTGAATGTGTAAACAGTCCTCCTAAGACAGCAGCTTTAAAACCTAATGTGACTGTGTCTAGCAGTGTTCATGAATTATTGGAGTGTCCCGTGTGCTTAAATGCCATGTATCCTCCAATTCATCAGGTTTGTTTATGCCATTTTTATCCATTCTTGATTAACCTAATGAAAATTTGATTCTGATGGAATTTTACAAGGCTTCTACTTTTTGATATCCTCACCCTGTTAAGAATTTCAATTTATAAGCTGGTCATTTCATTGGTGCTCTCTTTTGTTGCAGTGTTCAAACGGTCACACATTATGTTCCAGTTGCAAGCCCAGAGTTCATGACCGATGCCCCATTTGCAGGCATGAACTTGGCAACATTAGATGTCTTGCGCTAGAGAAAGTTGCTGCATCTCTCGAACTTCCATGCACTTATCGTAGTTTTGGGTGCATAGGAATATACCCTTATCACAGCAAGTCAAAACATGAATCCCAATGTGTGTTTAGACCGTATAGCTGCCCATATTCTGGATCAGAATGCACGGCTATTGGTGATATTCCTTATCTGGTGACCCATTTGAAAGATGATCACAAAGTTGACATGCATAATGGCAGTACTTTCAACCACAGATATGTCAAATCAAATCCACATGAAATTGAGAACGCAGCATGGATGCTGACGGTATTGTTTCTCTTTATCTGTATCTATTCTGGTTTTTGGCTTCCCTCTAATCCTAAGCAAAGAAGGGTTTTCTTATCTGCATAGTTCCCTTTGAAAGCCATAGTTGTGGAAAACTAGACATCTTTCAATTAATGATCCTTGTGAACGGAAATGTCCTTTTGTAGAAGTTAAAAGTGATTCATCATCATTGTATGTGTCTTACTCCCGTTAAAATCTGACGTGACACTCTAATTTATTGCTGGATCGAACTTTTGTTGTTTGATTCCTTTGCAGAAACCTGTGTTGTGGACATTTAAATGATTTGCTCGCTAATTTTTTCACCCCGATTTCCAGGTTTTTAGCTGCTTTGGTCAGTATTTTTGTCTGCATTTTGAAGCATTCCACATCGGGATGTCCCCAGTCTACATAGCATTCCTGAGGTTTATGGGCGATGACAATGAGGCAAAGAACCATAGTTACAGTCTTCAAGTAGGTGGAAGTGGTAGGAAGATGACATGGCAAGGGGTGCCTAGGAGCATTAGGGATAGCCACCGGAAGGTTCGGGATAGTTTTGATGGTCTTGTTATCCAGCGCAACATGGCCCTTTTATTCTCTGGTGGAGATAGGAAAGAATTGAAGCTTCGGGTGACTGGTCGGATTTGGAAAGAACAATGACAGGATGATTAAATCATCACAACTTCTTCCTATTATAGTTTATCTTCACACCTAGTGATTAGTTTCTTCTTGTAGCTAGTCCCATGACCTTCAGTCATTTATTTTTTGAATTATAGGAGGAAAACTCTCTTTGCTTGTCCATCCATCAAATACACGAGTGGGAGACCTTACTCTTGTCCCTGCAATTACAGAATCTATGTAGGTTTGCCGCATTGCTCTTTAGCACCTGTGGAGATATGTTTAGCGTGGGGAAATTTGATTAGGGCGTGGTTATGAAACCAAGGATGAGACAAGACAGCCAAGCTTGTTCCACCAGTTAGACCAGGCTCCGGAGGTCGAACTGGTGGACGGAGCCTGGTCTAACTGGTGGACCAAGTTGTTTATAGATCGAAATACAACCAGACCCGTTGAGGTCTTCTTTCTAATGGTCTTTCCACGTTTTATAATAGTATAGCAGCTATCAAACTTGCAAGTGCTCAATTCGGACAACTGGAAAACAATTTTTTACTTGTATTGGAGGACATTAAATGATTGACAAGACAGCAATTTAGCCTTCTACAACGTTGTCCATGTATGCCACGCCCAGAAGGGGCTGAAAACCTTCTCATCTGGTTTTATATGACATACAAAAGACGTATTGGAAAAATTCAACCAAAACCTGGCTGATCTGTTAATAGCAAAAGCCGCACAAAAGCATTAAAAACCAAGGAAGTTGACCTAAATGCAATCTCATGTGCATTTAGCCAAGTATGCATCCCATCCTTGAAGGCGGTATTCGCGAGCTGCCTCTGCAGGATTTGCTGCCTTTATAATCCCACGTCCCACGATTATGATATCACTACCCCTATCATAGATGACCTGAAACATCATTTATCCCACGGTGATTAGAACCGTAACAATTCCCCTTTAAATATCATTCAAAGCAAATTGCAATGAAGTGAACAGATTGATCACTGATGCATACCAGTGAAAAGATAAGCCAATGAATATGAATCAATGCTGCAACTTATAAAAGAAAAAAACAATCAATATACAGTGAATTGAACCTACAGAATATGGGGTATTATACTGCTGTCCAAGGGCATCACCACCAGTGACCATTTGAACTCCAGGGGTTGCTTGAATAAATGCTGGATTTACTGGTGCACCTGGCCAAGAAGCTGGATTTACTGAGATGAAGCCCATCACAAAATCAGAACGTTCTTCAGCAATTTTTACAGCCGCAGCTGTGTAATCTCCCTTAGCAAAGTTACCAGCTGAACTCATTTCAGCAAGCAGCAAGAGGCCCTTCCCACGAGGCAAACCCTAAATAGAGTTCAAGGGTATTCAGAAGTTATCTCAGATAACGGTCAGGCATAATCCATTAATATGACCCAGATAAAAGCTGTGCTGGCTGTGAGGCATACCTTCAATTTCAATCCATCCACAATTCCAGGACCAGAAATAATGTGACAATTAACTATATCAGCCCAATCCAGTATACGGAAGAGGCCCCTGTGAAAAACAAGGCCACGGACCTCAGACCTCTGCTAGGGTACTAACAGAAAGGAAACCAGAACAGAAAAGCCACAGGGACGCTGATTCTCACCCTTCATACTGCATAGTCACTGTGTTACCAATGTCTGCAAACTTACGATCTTCAAAAATTAAGAAATTGTACTTATCTGCAATCTACAAAAGCACAGTAAGCTATATAAAACAAAAAAGGAAGAGAGAGAAAACAAGGACAACGCTATTCAGCTGCTAGGGGATCTCAGGGAAATAAAATCAAATTATCAGCAGTTCTACCTAATTACCAACCAAACCAAACTCCACAAGAACAATTAGGAATGTCTGACCTACAGCCAACTTGAAAAATACCACTAAATTTAGAGGCATACCGCACGAAGTTTTGCTCCAAAATCAGGAGTGAAATCAGGCAAAATATCAACATGGGTTTTCAACAAGCATATCTCCTGTCCAACCTACAGCCAAAAGAATATCAAAGTCAGCCAATCAAAAAACAAACAAACATCACACTCCAATCATCCCCGACCCACCCCAGTATCAAAACACTTACTTTCTCAGCAAGCTCCAGCAATTCCTTAGCAGTACCAACATCAGCAGCAACACATAAATTACTCTCCTTTTTAACCATAACCTCAAACAACCTATTCCCCATTTCATTCTTTGCTAACTTCGCTCTCTCCTCAAACCCTAAACTCTTGACCCTAACACTCTTCTCCACCGCTTTAACAACACCAACCCTTCTATTCTCCTCCAAAAACCTCAAAACTCCCTTCTCCGTTTCCTCTTCCAACTTCCCCTTATCCCTCAAAACCCTAACCATCTCACTCAACTTAATAATGGCATGTAACTTAATCCCATTCTCCTCCAAATTCTCCCTCCCTCCTTGTTCCCTGTCAATCAAAACCACCGCGTCCGTCACCTTCAACCCCGCCGCCCTCAAAGGCTCTGCCGTTTCAAGAACAGAAGCCCCGCTAGTAACTAAATCCTCAATTATCAAACAAGCCTGGTCCTTTTGGTAATTTCCCTCAATAGCCTTCGAAGTACCGTAATCTTTCACTTCTTTCCTGCGCATTACCATGGGGATGTCGTTGGAGATTGAGACGGCGGTGGCGATTGGAAGAGCCGTGTAGGGAACGCCGCATATGAGGTCGAAAGTGGTGGTGGTCGGGATGGAGGTGATTAGGGTTTGGGAAATGTGGCGGAGGAGGGAGGGGTAAGAGATCATGAGGCGGAGATCGATGTAGACTGGGGAGGTTATACCGGACTTGAGCTTGAAGGAGTCGAATTTGACGGCGGATATCTCATGGAGTTGGAGAATTAAGGATTCCATAGAAGACATCTTGTGGCGATGACGACGGTGAGAGAAGCGAGGGAAAGAGTGAGCAAGCGTCGGTGCTGGAGTGGAAACGGAAGTGCTTATGCAAGGAAGGAAAGTTATCATCTTGACTTCCATTTTCTTTCTTTTTGGTTCTTGATTTATTTATTGCTCAGTTGCTTCTTTGTTTTAATTTTTTAATATTAAGTTACTGTCACAATGTTTGTCATGCATTTTTTTTTATTTAAAAAATATTATCTACCCTAAAAAAATACTTTGGTCGTTGAATTATTAGTTAGTTTGGACATCATTTATTTAATTTAGATTTTTTTTGTAATTTATTTAATTTAGGTTTTCTCTTTTGAATTTTGATATATTTGGGTGGATGGTTTTAATGCTTATGTTAGATTTTAAGCATCGAAACTTAACCTTCCTTAATTATACTTAATTAACACAAATCTTAAGAACCATTCACAATCGAGTGAGTTATTGCAATAGAAGCGAGATCAATTTGGATCAGAAAATTCAGCTAGACTGATGTTTTTAAAAAAGATTCAAACTCAACTAAATGAAAATAAAACAATTAGATTAATTAATTCAGTTTAATTCAATTTGATTATTAAAACTAAATGAATCTAACTTGAATTAACAAGTTTGGAGTTATTTTTTACTAGCAAATTATAATTTTTTTTAATTTTTTAAATCTGATTTTAAAACTAGATCAAATTCGTGTTTCTAGAAAAAATTACTGGAAATTTTTTTAAAATTTTTAAATCTAAATTTAAAACTAGATCAAATTCGTATTTCTAGAAAAAATTACTGGAAAATTTTTTAAAGCCAGGGTTCATTAAACTCAAGTAGATAAATCATTTAATTTACTTACAGTAATAACAGTACCATTGCTGCAGCACATGTTCCATCCTTGTAATTCATTTCTTTATTAAGGTAGTTGTTTAATTAGTTTATGTATATTTTAATTAATTTTATAAATTTTAAAATTAATAATTATATAAATTTTTAATGGTTAACATCCTTACAGCTATTTTCAACAAAGAAGATAGCAATGGATGATGTCGCATCCTTTGACTTGATGTTTCCTTTGAAGTGCAAAGCACAAATACCTTTATACCCCTAAAAAAAAAGAAGAAGAACAGATGCCTCTAACGCAGAAAGCGTCAATGATCCATCATTGAAGTAGGATATATTTCTCTATTATGTTCGTGTTATGGTTTTTATTTTTAAAAGTTATTTTTATTTTAAAATATATTATAACGTAATCCACATCTCTCTTATCAGGAACAATTCAATAAATATAGCTTATTTAGAATTTTTAATTAGAATTTATTTTTTAAAATATTTTTTATTTAAAAATATATTAAAATAATATATTTTTATTTTTAAAATTTTTTAAAAACACGTAATAAACAACTGCTACTTTCTTTATTGCTTCGCTTTAGAACCACCTCATAGCTTGCCTCGAAACTATGGCATTAATAGGCAGGGCTTGGCGGTACAGTAGGCAAGTTGTTGAATCCTTCGCAAATGTTGCAACTATTTTTTATTTATTTTTAATACATGTTAAAATAATTTTAAAATAAAAATTTTAAATTTTTATAAAAATATTTTTCAATTGTAAAAATAAATATAATCCTTTTTCAATCATAAATTTATAAATATTTAATTAATAAATACACTACATATATCCTGCTGAAACTTTTATTTAGATTTTAATTAAAAAAACTATAATTTATATTTTTGTTAGCTTATATTTTTTAGATTATGATAAAGTTGTTTTATTTTAAAATGCTTCTCATTCAAAAAAAAATATATCAAAATAATAATAATTTTTTTTTTCTTATTTATTTGATTAAGTTTGTACATAATTATAGTTGTAAAACTTAAATTAGCTTAATAAATCATTTTAAAAACTCGACTAATTTAAAATATAGATCAATTGACTTGCTCAACCTGCTCAAATCACTTCAATCATTTAAAAAAAAAAAAATATGATTGAGTCTTGTAACTTGTGACTTGAGCTTTCTCGTATATTAATTTTTATAATTATAGCTTGGGTTAAGTTTGATAATTAATATAGTTATTAAAATACTCGATTAATTTAATAGAGTTTCATTAATAACATCTAATATGAATAAACTAAATATTTATCTTAAATTAAATTTTAAATGTAAATTCTTTGATCTATCCTGGATTTAATAATTATAGTATATAATATCTAACTATTATTAATGAGATATCCCTTTTATCTTTTTTTATTATTATTGATAAAGATATTCAAATTAGTTTACGCGCATTTTAACTAATATACAGAATTTAAAATTAATGATTATGTAAATTTTTAGTGGTTATTGAAAAATTTAAACTCATAATTATTAAAAAATAAACTCAAAATCTAATCAGTTAAGCTATTCTCAAGTTGATATCTCTTCTATCTTGATAAATATTTATTTATTTATTGTGGTGTGTTTAGAAACAGAGTGGAAATCATGCTGTGTTCTCTTAAAGTTTTAGTTTTTATTTAAAATAATTTTTTTTATAGTTTTAGATTTTTTTGATATATTAATATTAAAATTATTTTTTTTTTTAAATAAAAATATTTTAAATTTACACCTTTACTGCAATCCAAACACGCTCCATCGGAGACATGAAATCACGGCCCGCCATGGTTTATCACCGTGTTCTCTCTATCCTTGACTTGCCGTGTGTCGGCGGAGTCAAAGACGAGTCTTGGCACGCATGGGCCCAGCGAAACTGAGCCTACGTGCATACCTCTAAATGCTACTTTCTGCTAATTTCTATAAAGTCCACTCGCACTGGGTCCACGCCCCACTTGCACATGAGTTTAGCCATGTATAGATCATGTAAATTCTCATAAATCTTTTATTTCTTCACAATTAATCACAGGAAGAACAACAATATTCAAGTAATGAAATGCCATAAGTGAAGATCCTTCAAGCCAAAATATCAACTTAACTGTCAAAACTTTACTAATTTTGCTGATAATATTGACATATGAGAAACGATGAAAGCAATATCGTGTGCTTTTATATTATTAATTTAAAAAATTACTATATATAATTGATTGTGATTTTTTTTTTTTGCAAGAGGAGAATAATAGTTAATTTAAGGTGTTATAAATATGAGAGAAAATATTTTTAAAATAAAAGGGTAGTTTCTATGGAAAAGAGAACTTCCATGATTTTAGAAATTAATACACAACTTAATAGTTATTGTTTTATATTTTTAAATTCAAGTGAAAAATAGGACCACATAGAATTCCTTTCATTTTAAAAGAATTATCATACATTTATATTATCAAACTATCAAAAAAACAAAAAAAACGATCAACACATAATATTTATGATTAGTCATGAAAACAGTGTATAAAAATAGTGATCTTATCTATTCCCTCATCTACTTCAAAATTTTTCTTATTTTAGATAAATATAATTCTTATATTTTTTTTATTTCTTCTTAATCTATATAAGAACGAAAAAAAAAAACATGAATCCAATGGATTAAAATATTTCAAGAAATGATTATGAGAAAATTATTTCCATAAAATTAGTATTATACTTACCATTAACATGCAATAGGGACTCAAATTAAATATATTGAATAAAATCGGTTGAATTGTTTACAAGAAATCTAATGTTTTACAAAAGGAAAGAAGAACAAAGGAGGTGTAACACACGAGCAAGTGAAGCCGGTGGAGCTGTCTTGTAAGAGAATTCCAACACCCTGTAAGCAAATCTGGCTGACTTTACATTCCGTTACTAATAATAATAAAAAAAGATGAAAAGACTGACCAAAATAAAATTTAATCATATAATAATACTGCAGATTCTTCTAAATTCATTATTATCTGAATCTTTAGTTTTGTCTTCTTCTCATAGAATAATTGTTATTACATTGTTCAAAATTTGACCTTTTTTTGTGTCCAATTCATCCTCCATCCACCACTTCTGTCAAGGGAAGGCCTGTTTTTTTTTTTTTCGATTTTTCGTTGGCATCTGGTTTCTGTCAACTTGGTAAGAACCCTTTTGAGTTTTCGCTTTTAGGATTTTTCTATTATTTTTTTTCAATTTGTCTCTTACATAATTCTCGCATGCCAATGTGTTTGATGCAGAGAAGAAGCTGATCAAGGCCCTGTTTCTGTCATTGGGATTCCTGTGTTTTTGCGATGGTTGATTCTGTTCTGTCATTGGAATTCCTGTGTTTTTGCGATGGTTGATTCTGGCGGTTGTTTTTAATGTTTATGAGGAGTTGATTGCTTATTGATACCTTTATCGTTTGACACTGAAAGGAGAGTTTCCTTGGCTATGCTGAGATTATAGCACCGATTCGTGTAATTTCTGTTTGCATTCCTGGAGGTTGGAGATGCCTATCCGACACGAGAATTCCGAAGGTAATTTTTATGTTCTATGAAAATATTCTGCAAATAAATTCATGTGGAGCATGTCTTGTTTCTGTTTCCCTTTTTCTTTCTCTTTGCTGTCTGCATGGTTCTGATGAGATATGATTTTAATGCTCATTTACCATAGGACAATTGAATGCTTTTAGTCAACATTTGGCCAGTTGCATATATAGACTCTCTCTTGTCCCTCGATCAGCTGTAGAATCAAGCTCATGTATTGCGTTTGATGTTCGACTGGGGTTAGAAATTACAAGCATGCTGTACCACCTACAAGATTTATAGTGTTGAGAATTTCTTTTCTTGGTTTCCAGAAAGTAACTGATATGTATCAATCTCAGTGGAAGTCTGTTCATAATCTTTTTTTTAGAGTTCTTTCTAATTTGTGGTCACTGTTCGCTTCTTCTCGTCATTTTCAAATTTGTTTTATGCCTCCATCTTCATTTCTTTCTTAGGTCACCTACACCGGTACTATCAGCTTCTAACCCCTGACAACTAGATTTTAATCTTTGTTCATAAAGATTCATTCATCAATCTGTACCGCCCCATTACTAAAAACAAAATAAGCACAAGTTGTCAAGCTTCACTGTGAATTTGTTTCCGAAATGCGCTTGGCAATCAGTGCTTGTCTTGAGAAACTTGGCGATTGAGCAGATATCAGTGAAGTGAGTCCTCATCTATTATATCTTCTTCTGAAACTCATGATATATACAATGACTCTCTTCTTGACAGTTGTCTAATCCCCAAATTTGTTCAAGGGACCTTACAGAATCTATATTTGTACTCACATGGAGTTGAGTGTCAATGGAAAACGTGGCCGTACTTACGCAGTCCTTTATTTGAAGGATCTTTTACCTAAAAAATGCGCTTGGCAATCAGTTTTGGCTTGTCTTGAGAAACTTGGCGATTGAGCAGATATCAGTGAAGTGAGTCCTCATCTATTATATCTTCTTCTGAAACTCATGATATATACAATGACTCTCTTCTTGACAGTTGTCTAATCCCCAAATTTGTTCAAGGGACCTTACAGAATCTATATTTGTACTCACATGGAGTTGAGTGTCAATGGAAAACGTGGCCGTACTTACGCAGTCCTTTATTTGAAGGATCTTTTACCTAAGAGTTTTCTGGTTTTCAGGACTTGAGAACTATTGCATGTGATGTTTGTTATGATATTCACGCAGTTAATGACTTCGCTGATACTTTTCAGTTGGTGCATGCTGTGCTTCGAGTGTTACATCTGGTTATACATTATCTTTTCCATGAAGAAAAGACCTACAGAGAATGATTGCATCGTGATCGTTCTCAGCATTATAATCTTCCATGATTGTCTGATGTTTGATTAAACGTATTGCATTTTAGGATCTGCCCCCTGTCCAGATGATCTCTTATGTTCGAACAAACAAAGTTGCGGCAACGGAAAAGATCAACTGAAATCTTCTGGTATTTGGAGCTTTACTCTTTAAACTTTTTGTTTGAAACTCTCTGTTATTCCAATAGCTCACTCCGCAGAATATAAGTTGAAATACATTGCAAAGGCTTAAAGAAACTCATTATTCTCTTATCTCTTACGAAATTCTTTTCTCAAGGTTTTGATCCATTAAGAGGACTTTACTATTTATTTTCCCATTTACATTTATAAAGACCTGCACAAAATGATTGCATTCTGTTTGTTCCCAACATTACAGTCTTCCACAATGATCTGATATTTGATTAAATGTGCTGCATTTTTTAGGATCGGCTTCCAGCCCAGATGATCTTTTAAATCCAGACCAACAAAGTTGCAGCAGCAGAAAAGTTCAGCGGAAACCTTCCGGTATCTTGAATTTTAATCTTTGAATTTTTTGTATGAAATCATTTGTTATTCCAATAGCTCATCTCTCTGCAGAATATAAGTTGAAATAAAATGAAAAGGCGCAAACAAACTCAAATTACTATATGATTTTAATATAATAAAATTACTTACACCAAGTGATTGCATACTGGTCATTCCCCTAATTATTACCTTCCATGATGATCTGATACATAATTAAATGTATATCATTTTTAGGATTGGTTCCTTGTCTAAATGATCTCGTACGTTCAGGCAAACAAAGTTGCAGCAGCAGGAAAGACAAACAGAAATCTCCTGGTATCATGAGCTTTAATCTTTGAACCTTTTGTTTGAAGCTCCTCGTTATTCCAGTAGCTCAACATCCTGCAAAATGGTAGTTGAAACACATTACAAAGGCATAAACAAACGCAAAATTCTCTCACTATGTGATTTATTTCTAACAAAATTTGGTTCTCGGGGTTTAACTGTACATGCAGGGATATGATGCATTAAGTGTACTCATTTTCTATTTTTCTTCTAGTATTTATCTTCTTAATTTTCCTATTTAGCATTTTAAAAGTGAGCCAATAGCGATATACTCTTGTATTAAAATGAAACTAGAATTTCATGGAAGAAAGTCTTTTTTTGGTCCACCGCAATGTACTGACTGCAAACCAATTTTTCCATCAATTGGTTGGTGTTTCTTCAGTAGTGAGTGGGATGGATTTGTGTTTTCTGCTATTTTTTATTCAAAACAAATGTGGATGGAGTCATGGGTAAGGATGTGTATGCTTCAGCAGTGATTTGCATATATTTTTGACCTTTGGACTGTGAATTGAGTCTGGCATGGAGTCATACTATAGTATCTATTACCTTTGGACCTCACAGTAAAGGGTACAGCTTCCTAGTTCGTTCTACTTTTATGATCCATCCATTGTTAGAGATTCATGCTTAATATACGAGTGATATGCTTTGGCTGCCTATGAACCAAGAGGCTAACCAAATTCCTGAAGTTTCAAGAACCTAGGATCGCCTTCTTTCTTTTCCATTCCTTTTACTTTTATATTGGTTGGGATGGGAGGTACAAGAGGGTTCTAAACAGAAAGTTCTCTTGCTTCTTGGATGAATCTACACTTCTGCATTTTGTTGAAGAGATGTCTCCTTTTCCTTTTCTGAAAGCATTGCTTGGGATGCAGAGTAACCTTCCTTTTGTTTATCTATCAGGTCCCCTAAAAAGACTGGAGAGATTGCTAAGTCAATCAGGAAACAAGACTTGTGCCGATTGTGGATCTCCAGATCCAAGATGGGTGTGAGTTGTTAAGACTGAACCTAATGCATTTCCATAGTCTTATTCATTTGATGTAGGGTTTATGAGAGTAAGAACGTGGATTTTGAACACTAGAATCAGTGTTAAATATTTCTCCTGAACACTGATGGATAGTGCAAAGGAAATTGTAGATTTTATAAACACGTGTGCTTGAAATCTTTGTCTCCATTTAACTACAAAAGTACAATATGATTTTATTCTTATCAATTTCTTGTCACAATTTCACATAAAAGCACGGGATATCTGTCTTCTCGGTTTGTACCAAAACTCCACTCTGTGCCACCCATCTGCAACTGTGGCAACGGCCCAGCCACAGAAAGCAGAAGCAATTTATTTTCCTCAAAGCCTGATATCAGTGCCTCTTGACATGACTATTGGTGCTTTTTTTTTTATCAGGTCGTTAAGTTATGGAGTTTTTATTTGTATCAAGTGTTCAGGCGTTCATAGAAGCCTTGGGGTACATCTATCGAAGGTGTGGTTTCGAAACTTGACTCATTGACTTTGTCCGTAAAAGTGAAAATTTAGAACTTTATATAGTTTGATCTTGCACTCTCATGATTTAGTACCATGAGTTATGCGGGATTTAATTCAAGGAGAAATGACAGCTTTTTAATAAAGAGCTCTGTCGATGAGAGGCTAGCAAAACCGCCATTTTCGATCCTGCTACTTGGTTCTATCTCTATGTTCTCTGCTATGAACGAGTGGTTAAGCAATATTTACTCCTCATACTTCAGTTTTTTCTAAGCCAGCAGCCAGCATCATAAGAAGCCATTACAAACCTTGGCTAGTGGCAGTAGGCTAGTAGAAAATATACTTCACTATATATGTCTTCGTTTTTTTCCTCTCAAGAGTATCGTAAATGAATCATCCTTGCTACACTCGCGCTAGAGAATATTACCGAGCCATCAGAACGTTAATATAATTTAGTTTTATTTCCAATCTTCTCTGATTACTCTATCCTTTCCATGCCTCTCCCATATTGGTTTGGTATGTTGATGCTGTATTTTTCTCGACTTCGGTCAGGTTCTATCAATCAAGCTAGATGAATGGACAGATGAACAGGTGAACGCTCTGATAGATTTGGGTGGCAATACAGCTGCAAACAAGAAATATGAAGCTTCTATGCCAGACGATTATAGAAAACCAAGACCAGATGCCTCTACAGAGGAGCGTTATGATTTTATTAGGTAATATTAGCACCACACTGATCATATCTTTATAAAAAAACAGTGCATTCTAAATCAGATATTTTTATCTGAATACCTCAGGAGAAAATATGAGCTGAAGGAATTTTCAAAATGTGATGAAAAAATGTCCAGCCCATTTCCAGGTTCTATAAGTTCATTACCCACTCCTTCAAATAGTTGTCCTTCCCAAGACAAGAAACAGTATGAAAAACAAGCAACCAGGCATCGTATTGGGAATGCATTTCGTAACAGCTGGGGAAGAAAAGACTCCGAGCACAAGCACACAAAAAAGAGCTACTCTTTGGTAATGAATCCCGGCTTCATTAATGTATTTATCGTATGTTGTGGATTATGAGCTCACCTTTTATAGCAAGCTATAACATATGTTACTGCAATTACTGTGCCCCTTCTGCTGCAATGTTATCATTTATGAGAAGTTAATATAAAACATGAATGCATGCACAAACATAATATGCACAAAAATAGATGTTCGACTGAAATTACTCGTATCGCAAATCATCATCATGCATGGTTTGTGGTGGACGAAAATGTGATGCATCCTATCTTGAGTTTTCTGTAGTCTTATTCATTTGATGTAGAGTTTATGAGAGTAAGAACATGGATTTTGAAAACTAGAATCTGTGTTAAATATTTCTCCTGAACATTGATGGATAGTTGAAAGGAAATTGTAGATTTTATAAACACATGTGCTTGAAATCTTTGTCTCCATTTAACTACAAAAGTACAATATGATTTTATTCTTATCAATTTCTTGTCACAATTTCACATAAAAGCACGGGATATCTGTCTTCTCGGTTTGTACCAAAACTCCACTCTGTGCCACCCCATAGTCTTATTCATTTGATGTAGGGTTTATGAGAGTAAGAACGTGGATTTTGAACACTAGAATCAGTGTTAAATATTTCTCCTGAACACTGATGGATAGTGCAAAGGAAATTGTAGATTTTATAAACACGTGTGCTTGAAATCTTTGTCTCCATTTAACTACAAAAGTACAATATGATTTTATTCTTATCAATTTCTTGTCACAATTTCACATAAAAGCACGGGATATCTGTCTTCTCGGTTTGTACCAAAACTCCACTCTGTGCCACCCATCTGCAACTGTGGCAACGGCCCAGCCACAGAAAGCAGAAGCAATTTATTTTCCTCAAAGCCTGATATCAGTGCCTCTTGACATGACTATTGGTGCTTTTTTTTTTATCAGGTCGTTAAGTTATGGAGTTTTTATTTGTATCAAGTGTTCAGGCGTTCATAGAAGCCTTGGGGTACATCTATCGAAGGTGTGGTTTCGAAACTTGACTCATTGACTTTGTCCGTAAAAGTGAAAATTTAGAACTTTATATAGTTTGATCTTGCACTCTCATGATTTAGTACCATGAGTTATGCGGGATTTAATTCAAGGAGAAATGACAGCTTTTTAATAAAGAGCTCTGTCGATGAGAGGCTAGCAAAACCGCCATTTTCGATCCTGCTAAT